TGGAGAAGGTAGATAATGAAGGCTACAGATTTGTGTTTGAGTGATCTTGTTTCCAATTCTCAGCATCGCTAAACGTATGTTCTTTTTTAAAAAAAACTTTATTTCATTATTTTTGTGTGCGTGTACCGTCAAATCAGATCTGACTGGTACAGGAGGAGATTGTCCCTCCTTCCCCGGCAAAGCATCTGGTGGATTCGAACCGTGCGCCTCTGGGACTGTAGTTGCAGCTCCTTGCCACTAGGCCACCAGAGCTCCCCGGGACGTGAATATTCTAAGTACATAATAAATTGTTATCATTATTATTTAATTCTTTTTTCCCCCTTACAATACTTTTACTCTCTCATTAGAATGAAGATTGAGCATAGATTTTGAACAACATTCTGGGTTTCAGTCATTTCAAATCATGTGTGGACCAGGCAGTGAGAGGAAAAGACAGCAGGGGAGGAGGGTGAACAAAAAATCTCTCTTCATCAGGGGACAGTGGAGAAAAGCAAGCTTATCAAAGTTGCTGCCGGTATCGCATGAAGGCCCACGCTGTAAGCACAGTAAAGGCAAACACTGGCATCAGCACCATGGCAACAGGAATGCCACTTGGCTCCCCTTCACCCACAGGCCCATTCTGCACCTGTAACCTGTGCTGTACCCGCAGAGACACAGCGTAGCCTGCATTACGAAAAAGGTCTACAGCATCTTGGTGCAGAAGATTTTGTAGGTCTTGGCCATTCACGGAGAGGATCTTATCACCCTCCTTGAGCCGCCCATCCAGGGCTGCTGCCCCATTCTCTTTGATGAGGCTGACTTAGATGCCACTGTCATTGGAGATATACTGCTGATCTGTCCCACCGACGATGTTGAAGCCCAGCCCTGAGGGTCCCCTGGTAAGACTGATTTCTTCCTCACTGAACAAATAACCCACTCTTCCGTTCATGTTTTAGTGCTCTGCAGGATTCCCACCTGGGTCAGGGAGGACTACCCACTGCTCAAGGTGAGTCCGCCTCAGCCCGGGAGCCGAGCACTTATTATTTAATTCTTAGTACTGAATTTTCTAAACTCAAATCTCAAGAATTACCCAAATGCAAGATTTCTTTCTGTAACACTTTGCTAGTATATTTTGTACTAACCTGATATTTTTCTGGGTCACCACATTCAAGAACTGGGAATTCTGGATATTCATGCTTCTTTTTTGTAACAGTAAATATTAATTCACTAACAATATAGAGAAGCCAATTGGAACCTATAAGAAAAACCAAAGAAAACATGATTCATTAAGGAGTCTAGATATGACAAAAGCATGTTGTTTAAGTGTGTATATTATAAAGTCAAATTCTACAACCATTTTTGAGGCATGCAAACAGGTAGGTGGCTCCTGAGATAACCTGGGCTGTGAGGGGAAGAAAGCAACACGTTTTTGTAGAAACAACATTTACTTATGTTATTATGAAGTTCTAATTTTTTATTTCTCAAATTTCCCTTTCACTAGGGAGCTCTGGTGGCCTAGTGGCAAGAAGCTACACTGCAATCCCAGAGGTGCATAGTTCAAATCTACCAGATGCTCTGCTGGAGAAGGAGGGACAATCTCCTCCTGTACCAGTCAGATCCGATTTGACGGTACACACACATACACACACACACAAATAATAAAAAAAAATTTCCCTTTCAGAAAGAGATAACGCTTCTTTTGGAATTTAGAATATATTCTTTATAAAACAATGTCATGCTCTAGGAATTAACATATGGATTATCTCACGTTAAAATAACAAATACTTCCTATGAAAACATACATGCTTTTGATTTTATAAAATTTTAGCATCACTTAAATGGAAGAAAATATTAAATGAGATTGATTTTCATAAACATTTAGTGATAACAGCTAAGATAATAAATACATAAGGAGCAGGAAAATTTAGATTCATAGCACTGTATCTATTGATGAAAGACCCTTGTAAAATTGCTTTGAGGAACTGGAAGACTGATGTTTGATCCTGAAAAGTCATTTCTAACATGGAAGTTATAATATAAATTACAGAATTACTACTTTTATCTTCAGTCAAAAACCAATCATGTTAATTATTATCAGTGCTCCACGGCAACTGGACTTCCCCTCATCACATCTCTGCTTTCTAGACCCACCATTCAGCTCCATCCCGTCATACCTTTTGTGTCATGCATTTCTCCCCTCAGATATTGGGCTTTTCAAATTAATCCATTTCTATTGATTAACCTGTCCTCCTGGAAGCAATGTGGATCTTCCAGCTCCATGCAGGAATAAACTGAACCCCTCCCACCTTTATCTTGTACTCTCCCAGCCAACAGAGTGGCGCTGTAGGAAATAATACGCTATTTACCACACTTGGGGTAAGATGCCAGCACTATGTCATCACTTCTGGCTTCAAAGGTGTCCAAGGCCTGGAATGTTTCCAAGGTGCACATGGTGATGGGGTAAGGAATCCCCTGATAGGTAAATAATAAGCGAGACAGTGCTGTTTCCTTTGACTTCTCCAGAGCTTCATCAATGTAGTCAATGAATTTGGACTTATCAGCCATGTTAGCTGCCTGAGAGTAAAAGTGCTCTGTGGTTGTTCAGGGCAGCGATTGCTTATAAAGGACTTCCTGGGAAAGTGGAATAAAGGCTCGTCTCACTCACATGACAATGAAATCACTTAATTCTGTCTACTGCACACCCACTCCCTTTGCATATCCTCCTCTGTCAAAAGAAAAATAAACCGCAGGTGCACAACAAGCTGAGAATCAGTGAGTATTAACCCCAGGGTTGATTCTATTACCATTGTCAGCAACTATCCCCCCAAAATGGTAGCCTGTAGTATCATAAATTAATTCTATGAAATTTAATTGAATTGGGTATAGAATTTTCCTATTACTGAAAGACAATTCACTGAATGAAACCACAGTATTTTCTGACCCCAAAGCATACAATTTGGAGACTGATGGCTTTGCACATGTATCCCGCATTATGTGATAAGGAAGCAAATAGGTTGTAAAGTACTAAGTTGTGTGCCGTCGAGCAGGAGCACCCTTTAGCTGATCCTTCAGAGGGTTTTCAGAGGCAGTTAATCATAAGGGAGGAGATTGCCCGTCCTTCTCCCATGTAATATAGAGAGGTGGGAAAGGGTTTGAAATCGGAAGCACCATCTGGAACCTATCATTTCCTGGCTCACTGGATTTATAAGTCAGAAGATACAAGTTTAAACCTCAGCTCTACTTCTTACTAGCTGTGTTATTCAAAACTCATTAAAAACAACAACAACAATACAACAACAATTTTAAAAAAACCTCAAAATCATTACTATTGAGTGGATGCAGACTCCAAGCTGATCCTCCATTGGATTTCCAAGGCTGAAAATTGCCTGAGTGGAGATTGCTCATCTTTCTGTCTAGGCATGGAAGGTGAATTTGAACCACCACTGGAGATATGTCTTTGGGTTAACACTGTTGCTCTCCAGGGGCTATGCTGTCAGAGGGCATATAATACATGTCTAACAGTCTATGTCAGATGGTGATTATGACAGCTATTGTTCCTTACAGTTTATGACTATATGACTGGTGTTTGGCTGGAAGAAGACTCTTCTTTGTAAAGGTGCAGTTCAGTGATGTCTCCAGCCTCTGAGTTTGGTTTTATTGGCCAATGTCCTCACTGTCAGTGGCAGTCTTTCCTTTACAGGCACTTCTCCCTTTTTTTCTTTGAATAATATCAAGTCCACCTCTTATTTTAAAAGACCCTCCACCTTTCTCAGCTTGATGTGAGATGAAATTTCATTATCCTTGTCTCTAAGGAGCAGACTGGAATGTCCATCAGGACAGATTTGTTTGGGAAGTCCATATGATATTCTGTATTCTTCCAACATCACAATTCAAAGGCATTGATTCATCTTTGGCCTTCATTATTCGTTGTCCAACTTTCAGATGCATCGGAAGCAATTGAAAATACCAAGGTTTGGATTACACGCATCTTAGTCTTTAAATGGACATTCTTGCTCTTTAGAACTTTGGGGATGTCCTTCATAGTAAATTTCACTAATGCAACATATCTTTTGATTTCTTGGTTGCTGGTACGATAAGTGCAGGTTATGGATACAATGAAAATGAAATTGTTGACAACTTCAATCCTTTTCCCATCTATCATGAGGTTTTATAACTTGGGTAATGGGAAGAAGAATCAGTAGGTGGAAAACATGGACTTGGTGACAGAAATGAAGCTGGAGATAGAATGATTGAATTTTGCACAATCAATGACTTATTCATTGCAAATATGTTTTTAAGAGACATAAACGTAGATTATACACATGGATTTCACCTGATGGTATGCATAGGAATCAGATCGATTACATCTGTGGAAAAAACTGTTGGGAAAGCATAATATCAGCTGTGAAAACTAGGCCAGGAGCTGATTGTGGAACAGACCACCAACTACTCATATGCAAGTTCAAGCTGAAGCTGAGGAAAATTAAACCGAATCCACAGGAGCCAAAATATGACTTTAATTTCATACCACCTGAATTTCAGAATCATCTCAGGAACAGGTTTGAGGCCTTGAACACTAATGAGCGAAGACCAGATGAGTTGTGGGAGGATGTTAAATGTATCATCCAGGAAGAGAGCAGGCGGTCATTACAAAGACAGAAGAGGAAGAAAAGACCAAAATGGATGTCAGAAGAAACTCTGAAGATTGCACTGGAATGTAGAGAAGCCAAAGCACAAGGAAGAATCCAAGACACTAAAGAGCTGAACAGAAGATCAAAAGGCAGCACGGAATGACAAAGCAAAATATTACAATGAAATGTGCGAGGAGCTAGAATCAGAAAATCAAAAGGGCCGAACTCGTTCAGCATTTCTTAAGCTCAAGGAACTGAAGAACAAATTCAAACCTCGAGTTGCTACAATCAAGGATGCTTTAGGCAGAATGTTAAATGATCCAGGAGGTATCAAAAGAAGATGGAAGGAATATACTGAGTCATTGTATCAAAAGGAATTGGCAGATACAGAAGAATTTAATGAAATAACATATGAGCCAGAGCCTATGGTGATGAAGGCAGAAGTTCAAGCTGTTTTGAAGGAAATAGCAAAAAATAAGGCTCCAGGAATAGATGGTATACCGATTGACATATTTCAGCTAACAGATGCTGCCATGGATGTGCTCACCAAGTTGTGCCAAGAAATCTGGAGAACAACCACTTGGCCAACTGACTGGAAGAGGTCTATATTTGTTGCCATCCCAAAGAAGGGTGACCCAACTGAGTGTGGAAACTACAGAACAATATCATTGATTTCACATGCAAGCAAGATTCTACTGAAGATTATCCAAAAACGACTGGAACAGTACATCAGCAGAGAACTTCCAGAAGTCCAGGCTGGGTTTAGAAAAGGTCACAGGGTCACTCATTTTGAATAATATTGCATGAATTACTTGTTTTTCAATGCAGCACGGTATTTCATTGTGTGTATCTCAGTCACAAAAGGACAAATACTGTATGGTGCAACTGTTGTAAAGCAGGACTGATCTTGGGGTTGGGAGGGGACTGAGAAGGATGGGTTCAATAATGTATACTGCATTGAAACAGATGAGGGAGAAAACTGTTAAAGAGGGAAACTTGTTAGGTATTTTTGTCATGACAGGGGTCCAGAGCAAAGGCTGTATAGTGGAGTGGACCTGGGGGGAGGGATTGTAAAACAATGAAATAATTTTTCTTTTACTTTTCCAAGAGGGTAGTATACTAGAGGGGAGGGTTGGGAGGGGAGAAAAGTGCAACAATGAATGAATGAAAATCCAAAGTCTCTGTAAATTTTCATTGAAATGAATAATAAATTTTAAAAAATTAAAAACCAAGAAAACAAACAACAACAAAAAGAAAAGGTCACAGCACTAGGGATATCATTGCTAATGTCAGATGTTTACTGGGTAAATGCAGAGAATATCAGAAAAATGCCTACTTGTGTTTTATTGACCATGCAAAGTGTGGATCATGACAAATTATTGATAACATTGAGAAGAATGGTAATCCCAGAACACTTCATTGTGCTCATATGGAATCTATACCTAGACTAAGAAATTGTTGTCTGAATGGAACAAGGAAAACTGCCTGCTTTAACATCAGAATGGGTGTGCATTTCAGTGGTATCCTTTCTCCACACCTATTCAATCTGTTTATTGAGCACACAATTTGTGAAGCCGGACTCTATGAAGAAGAATGTGGCATCAGGATTGGAGACTCAGCAACAATCTGCATTATGCAGATGACACAACTTTGCTTGCTAAAAGTGAGGAAGGTATGAAATGTTTGCTGCAGAAGATCAAGGACTTCTGCCTTCAGTATGGACTATATCTCAACATCAGGAAAAGAAAGGACTTTACCACAGGACCAAAAGTCAACATTATGATGGGTGGAGAAAGGACTGAAGCTGGCAATGATTTCATCTTGCTTGGATCAACAATCAACACCCTTGGTACCAGCAGTCAGGAGATCAGGAGATGTATTGCATTGGGTGGGGGGAGGGGAGTGTGCTGTTAGAGACCTCTCCAAATGCTAAAGAGCAATGATGTCAGTTTCAAGACTGAAGTGTGCCTAATTCAGGCCATGGTCTTCTCAATCACCTGCTACATGTCAGAGACCTGGAGAATGAATAAGGATGACAGAAGAATTGATGCCTTTGAGTTGTGGTGCTGGAGAAGAGTATTGAATATGTCATGTACTGCCAAAAGAATTAACACATATGTCTTGGGAAAAGTGCAGCCATATTTCTCCTCTGGACATGTGGCTAGATGAGTCTATTCCTTGGAAAGGGGCATCATGCTTGGAAAGATAAGGGGTCAGTGAAGGAGAGGAAGACCTCTAACAAGAAGGATTGTCACAGTAACTTCAGCAATGAGCTCTAGTGTGTCAAAGATGATGAGGATGGCACAAGATAAGGCAGAGTTCAGGTCAGGGATGCTCTGCGTCCTACTTGACTCAATGGCACCTAAAACCAACTATACACAGTTGTATAAAGAAGAGAGGTCTGTGTTAAGGTTAAGGACTCAAGGAAGGGATCACAGAGAAAGAGAAAGCTAAAGTAGCTTTATTAAGGGGGACTCCCAGGTGGGATTCCTTGGTCTGCACAGAGAGGGGCAGAGAGACAGACCAGGGAATACTGTACCCTCAGATTAATTAGGGCAGGTTTTTATAGTAAGTGTCTTCAGGGAGGTAAGGGAGGGACATTCCATTGTGGTTTAGCCAGGTGAGTGGTCTTCTAGGGAGGGAAGAGAGGGTCACTCCATGGTAGTTTAGTCAGATGGGCAAGGCTGTTCATTCCCTTTGTTGACATGTTGATATTCTTTGAATCCTTTGTTCTCCCATTGACCTTGGTCCAGGGCTGACATTCTGGTGACTGAGTAGTAAGGAGCTGTGCTGCGAACTTGGCTCAAATCCACCAGCTGCTCCATGGGAGAAGAATGGGCAATCTCCTCCTGTGCAATTTTTTGTTGTTGATTGTTGAGCACAACTTATAGTGACAAAAGATCTAAGAATAAAAGATCTGAAGACTCTATGACT